GCCCCCGGGGGCCCCTTGGGGCCCCTGGGGGCCCCAAGGGGCCTCTGGGGCCCTCTGCAGGTCTCCGGAGGCCCCCGGGGGCCCCCGGGGGGCCCCTGTGGGGCCCCCTGTGCTGAGCAGCAACTGGGGAGGGGTTTTTCATTTTGGGGGCCCCTAAGGGCTGGCAAGGCCCCCCTGGGGGGCCCCCGGGGGCCCCTGGGGGCCCCCAAGTATGGAACTTTGCGACCGTCTTGTGTGTGAGGACCCTAGGGGCCCTCCAGGGGTCAAGGGGCCCCCCAGGGGCCCCCGTGCCTGACCTCTCGTGCATTTAATTTGCTTCTTTTGCTGCTGGGCGGCGAGGGCAAGAAGAAGGGCGTTGCTGAACCCTCAGGGTTTCCTGGGGGCCCCCGGAGAGGGGCCCCCGTGAGGGGGCCCCCAGGGGGGCCCCCAGGGGCTCCCCGGGACAGTCAAGGTACCGGCAACGCTAAGTAGAATTTATTGGTTTGTTTTGAGGGGCTGGGGCGGCTCTGCTGCAGCAGCCAAACTGTGGAAGCGTTCTCCATGTGTTTTGTTTAGATTTAGAGGCTGCGCGTAGCTGCTGCTGCTGCTGCTGCAGCAGTAGCAGCAGCAGCAGACGAAGCCTTTGAGGTTCGCTGCACTGCTCGGTGGCTTGTCTGCTCGTTTGAATTGTTTGCTGCTGAGGGCCGCTGGCAGCTGCAGCCGCTGCTGCAGCAGTAGCTGCTGCTGCTGCTGCTGCAGCGGCAGCAGCGGCTGCAGCAGCAAATTCGGGGGGGTGCTTTCGAAATGAAATGCCCTCCAACTTGTGCGGTAATTCCTTTCCTTCTTGGCTCAGTTGAGGGTCTTTGCGGCTTTTATTTTAAATTAGTTTTGCAGCTTTTTGTTTTAAAATGGTTCTGCAGCTTTTTATTTTAAATTAATTTTGCAATTTATTCCATTTAGGGAGTTTTCTTGAAGTGGCGGCTGTGGGGGCTGTTAGCTGGGGGCGGGCCGACCCCCCATATGACCAGTTAGTCGCTAATTTAGAGTTTAGGGTTTGGGGGTTGAGCTGCTGCAGCTGCTGCAGCAGCAGCAAGGAGTCCAGACTTTGCAGTAAATAAACTGAACTTTCACCTTTGGCTTTGGCCTTATTCGTTCGCCTTCGTCGCTGGTGTCTGTGCGTACACAGCAGCACAGGATCCGCAAACCCTAAACCCTAAGCCCTAAACCCTAAACCCTGAGTTCTGGAGTACGTAAAGCCCTTAAATTAGCGTTTAATTCTCTTTTTTGTTCTTGGTGCAGCTTATTTATCTGCAGCTTCCCATCGTTTGTGTCGACAGCCAAACTCGAAAGTTCTGTCGAACTGGGAAGACACCAGTGCTTAGTTGCTGCGGCAGCTCTGCTGCTGCGGCGAATGAACATTTCAAATAAAGTTTAAATTAAATGTTTTCTCTTTTGCGGAACATTTTAACGCGTGGCGTGCTCTGAGCTGTCTAGACACCGCAGCTAAGCCGAAACCTGTTGGGCGCCCTTGCGAGGATCACATTTCGGAAAGTGGAACAGGAGGAAAAGCACTCCAAACAAACGCTCAAAAGCCCAATATAAACTTCGATAAATGGAAACATAAAAACAATTTATATTTTGCTTTTAATCTGCGCATTTCCGGACAATATTACCCGAGATCGCAGCAAAAACATGCCAGGTTGGGGGCCCCCCTTCCTGCAGCACAGCAGTAGGGGGCCCCCAGTCGGCGCTGCCTCGCGGCGAAGAGTTGAGCCCAAGGAGTTCTTTGTGCTCCTCAACCTTTCCTTAATTTCTTTTCCTTTTTTAGTTTCATAAATTGTCGCTTTTACGAGGTTTGCTGCGGCGCATCTGCTGCTGCTTGCACTCGAGACACAGCGCGCGCAACAAGGCAACAGCAACAGCAGCAGCAGCACGAGCAGCAGCAGCAGCCGCAGCAGCTGATGGCTCCATGAGGAATGTAACTCATCACGTGCAGCCTACAGCGGAACGCGCTGCAACCCTCCTGCCTCCGAACGGCAGCAGCAGCAGCAGCAGCAACAGCAGCAAAATTACCAGCAGCGGGGCTGAGGGCCTCCCTTGCA